ACGTCTTCAATGGCTCCGGGAGCACTGGATGATGCTGGCTTGCTTCCATTAGAACAAGGCGTACTAACAGAAAACTGTGGAGTTAGCTTTGTAGTGGTGATTACGAAGAGCGATCTGTGTAAGTTTCCTCTTTTTGTTTTAGACTAGTTTCTCTTTAAAGCCCACCGTTTCTTTATACTGGGATCACGGCTTAGGGTGTAGATTTTGAATTAATTACCGCAGAAGTCACTTGTCGACGCGATGTGAACTGCTGCTGAGTGGGGCATGAATATGGTGACAAGATTGGACATCAAAAACTTCAGTGACCAAAGCTCTCGTTTGTACCATCAGATCAACCACTGCGCTTTACGTATAACACTGCCTTTGTTGTGTAGATGGCTCCGCTCAATCCTCAACGAATACGTCTGTCTTGAACGCTGCCGTTTGATTTTCTTCCCGAATCTGCTGTATCCGAAAGAAGCCACAGTGTCATCCGACCCTAAAACGAATGTTTCTCCTTGTAGAGCTCGATTGCCTGCGAGCTGAGGGGGACTGTGAATACTGTCAGAAGCCTATCAAACCCAAGTCGTTGAGGGTGATGATAATATAGGATATAGATGACATTATCAGGTAAAGTTGTGCGTAACAAGCTCCAAATACGAGATATAAATCCTATTCACGACAAACTGTCTCGTATGGGCAGAGGAAAATGGAGTTGGAAAATATCAACGGCTTTCGGCGAATCCGGCCCATATGTGGACGATGAGAAATGTCTTTGTATTTTCCTAAATGATTAGATCTTCATTAGAAAAAACTCAGAAGTAAATTCTAAGGCCTTCATGGAAACTAACAGCATTAACAAGTTAAATGGAAGTAATCTCTCTAATGCAGCGATGAATTGAACCTCAGCGACCGCGACCTCTCCTTTCTTTGATTCTCATTTATGCGGTAGTAATCTTTCAAGCCCAACGCCATCCTAGGTGGGATTTCATGGAAAGCTGTCAAATTTGCTTTGACTTGAAGATTTACTGGCAAGGCTGAGTGCCGGCTCAAGTACTTGCGGTACTGAATCTTGCGCAAGTTCGGTGCAGAGCCCATCTGTCTGACTTTGAGTTAGACAAAAATTGCCCATTATGCACCTCTAGTTGAAGGTCGCGGACTATTCAATGTGGTTGGTATCAAATCTGAAGAAGCTCGAAACAAAATAGCTTGCTTGTTTAGCTAAAAGCTGTTCTTCAAAAGGCATGAAGTGAAATTATTCAATTTCAATCATCATCAGTCACATTCATTTGTCACCATACTTATGCCCCCGCTTTGTAGATATCTACGATGTTGAATAAGAACCGTTGAATGAGTCGTTTCTTACGAGACACTGGCCGTTTGAGGAAAGAACGAAAGTTTCTTTTTCTGTTGTTTCTGACTTCTGCTCCGAGATTGTTGTGTAGTACTTTTTCTTAGGAAAGTTCGAGATTAATGGAGTTGTGTGTTTCAAGGCATTCTGCACAGTGAGCCAGGGTAACGAAAACCGGCATGTTAACCTTATTATACCGATTAGTCAAATTCGGAAAGATAGAGAGCTCGCCTAGGAGATTTTTGAATCTTTGAAGTGTCAAACTGCGTTATCTCCGTTTGTACTTGAATTGTTTCTCACCATTATGTTTCATTACTCCGTCTTTCTTCAATTAGCTCCATCTCCTATTGTTGTCATCAGTTATTCTCTATTGTAGGTAACGAAATGACCGATCAACAAGCTGATCGTATTCTCGTGCAAGTGCGACGTCTATGTCTTCAACTAGGCGCTGCCTTAATCTATACGAGTGCTAAGAATGTGAAGAACATCCAGGTTTCTTTATAATGCTCTTGTACAGAATATCATAATCGAAAGCATGGTCTTATCACGTGAATT